TTTTAGGCATCTTAGTATGTAGGTTCATCCCTGGAATTCTTCTCTGATCGTTTATTGTTAAGTTTGTTGGTTGGTGGTCTGTGAATTCTAACTGGTCAGTTTGTAAGAGCTCGTCATGATGACCATTTTAATATAGTTGTAAGAGCTGCTCTCGTGAAAATAGGCATCGTACAACTATCACATGAGGTGCTTCCTTGATCACCTGTGAAACGAGTTACGTGTCTAATAATAATAATCAAGGTGTGATAGCTACAGGTAAACATTCTAAGAATGAACGTTCTCTAGTGAAATAAGGTTGGCCATTCTGATATCTTCTCAGCTTGTTCAAAATTAAAACTTTTTGCGGGATGATTCACACCTCAAGTAATGGGCTTGACATTGGCGTATAGTTCATGTTAGGAAGTGAATTGGTGTGGAAGTTCATAGAACGGAGTAAGTTCATCATAAGTATTGGGGCTGAATTGCGGACGAAAATTTCATTTTTTGCTAAGAGAAAGTGATGAACGAACATATATTAATTCCGTGTTGTATAAAAGTGGGAGCAATAAGGGATGAGTTGTGCACGAAGAGAATTCATTTTTCTCATCATCTTGTTAGTATCGAGCTCGTCTCAAATTGATTTGGGAAGATTTGTGGGTCAATCAATTAATGAGTTTTTTCAATATTCATGAAAAGAAAATTCTAGGGTATTGCGTGATAAATATCTTATTTAGGCATGTGCATCGGGATTTTCTCTGTGATATATATTGTTTCGGATTTGTGCCTAAATAATTATTGGTACGTGATTTGATAATATTCTCGTCTGAAACTTCATGCAGTATATATATGGTAACCATGTTGCAACTTGGTAACAAATCTTTTTGTCTTGGAGTGAACGGTTTTTTAGCTTGCACTAAGTGTTGGTCAAATTTGAATTTCAAATTTGCCGAGTCGAACCGTCTTCAAACCAACCTCGATAACTGAAATTGCGGTTCCCTATATCGATCATACCACCTTTTGCATCTCTCTCTCATTACTATTTCAATCTTTTAATTTTGTTATTTCTCCCAACTGCTCTAACATTCCTTCTTCATGAAATTCTCTATTTCTCGACAATGCCTAAATCCAAGCAGGGCACCTTGAAGCCGAAGAAGAATGTTCCTCCGCCATCTCGGCGCTCAACTCGTCAAAGCCAAAGTTCCGATACTCCACCAGATCCAACTCCTTCAACCATGGCAACCGAGGACATTCAACCTCCCATTAAATCCACAACTAGGGTTTCTCCAAGCCCTAAAAAATCCTCAACGACAAAAGGTTATCAACCTGAAGTCGCCGAACCCAGTGACAAAGGAGGAAAAGGTTCTCCCTCGATCGTCAAATCTCCAAAGAAGCGCAAGAAGGTCGCCGAAACTGTCGCACCAAAAACCAAGAAGGCGAAAAAGGTCGTTCATGTGCCTGAACCTGCTGCTGGTACTCCTTCTCACACGAAATCTGGAGGAGAATCGTCTTCGAATTCTGATGCTGATTTTGTTGAACATGAGGTCACCAACTATGTTGCTGAACCTGAGAAATCTGACAACAAACATGCTGCGGACAAGGAACTTTCTCCTCTTTAAAAAGAACAAATTGTTGGTGAAGTCGAGGGTGCTGGTACAGACAGTCCTCTTACTGTTGGTAATGCATTTTCTCGTCAATTTTATTCTCCTTTGGCTAAAACACGTTTTTCTACCATCATTTCTCAAATGAAGTTTCGTTCTGAGCGGACGATTGATAGCAAACATTATGAACAACTTGGGTTGCTTGAACTTCTGAAGAAAGTGGGTCTTGAGGGTTCAGTCACGTCTGTTGGGAAGTATTGTCCCTGGATTGTTGGTTTATTTTATTCGAACCTGACTACCTCTGTCGTTGATCCGTCCTCAAAGAAGTTTCAGAAAGTGTTTGTGCGTAATAGTGTGGTTGATTTCTCTTCGTCTGTTGTGAACTCTGTACTTGGATTAGCTGAAGGTTCTTCTCTTCGTCCTCTGACTGATGATCTTGAAGAAGTTGCTCGCACCTTGACCGGTGGACAACTTACCAAATGGCTTGCTCCGGGAATCTTTGTGAAGAGTCTAACTCCGCCTGCCAATGCTCTACAGAAGATAGGAGCGTCGAATTGGACTCCTACCACTCACAAGCAGTTTCTCACCCCTACGCAAGCTCGTGTTATCTATCGTATTCTGAATGGTACCCCATTTGATGTTGGTTCTGTGATCTTTGATGTTGTTGTAAGCTTTGTAGAGATCTCCAAGCCCCATAAGTTGATGTTGTACCCATCTACCATATGTGCTATTCTCTTCGAGGTTGGAGTGAAAATGGATCCTCGACTTGGTGATAATTATGCCCCTATTAACAAACCTCTTGCCCTTGCCGGTGTTAAAGTTGCTCCACCTCGTCCTTCAATTGTTAAGGCCTCTGATGTACCATCACAGCTTCGCGGATTTTTAAATCATCAAGTGGCAGTTTTCATGGGGCTTGAAAAGAAATTGGCTGATCAGCGAAGGTACTACAAGGAGGTTCTGTGTGCTTTAAAGTCTCGTGCCCCGTTGGTCTCTAAATCGAAAAAGGGGGAGAAAAAGAAGGATGTTGTTGCTGCAAAGAAGAAAGCTCTTGCTAAGGGGGAGAAGAAAGCTCTTGCCAAGGGGGAGAAGAAGACTGGGTCTACTGAAGAAAAGAAGACAAAGGAGGCTGCTGCTACTGCTAAGGAAAAAGGGAAAGAGAAGATTGTTGCCGCTAAGGACAAGGGAAAGGAGAAGGTTGTGGAAGAAGATGAAGGTTCAGAAGAAGGAGAGGATGAAGAAGCTGGGTCTGATACCGAGGATGAGGAAGAGGATGCAAGCTCAGAGGAAGGGATTGAGGATGCTGCTGAAGAAGGTTCTGGGGAAGAATCTGACGAGAAAGAATCTGCATAGCTATCTCCCAGCTGGACTTTCATTTGCCTTTTGTTAAAAACTCTGTTTTGTGTGTTTTTTAACTTCTTCCTTTATGTCTTATTACCTTTCGTTTGATGAACTTTCGTGGGATATTTTGTGAAGCCCATCATGTTTAAAGCCATCATGTTTAAAGCCACGAAGCTGGATGGTCGCATGCTTCGACCACCTCCAGGGGTGGGCATGTGTTCAAAAATTTAAAATCCATCATGTTTAAGGTCACAGGGCTGGATGGTCACATGCTTCGACCACCTCTAGGGGTGGGCATGTGTTCAAAAATTTAAAATCCATCATGTTTAAGGCCACGGGGCTGGATGGTCGCATGCTTCGACAACCTCCAGGGGTGGGCATGTGTTCAAAAATTTAAAATCCATCATGTTCAAAGCCAAGGGGTTGGATGGTCGCATGCTTCGACCACCTCCAGGGGTGGGCATGTGTTCAAAAATTTAAAATCCATCATGTTTAAGGCCACAGGGCTGGATGGTCGCATGCTTCGACCACCTTCAAGGGTGGACATGTGTTCAAAAATTTAAAATCCATCATGTTTAAGGCCACGGGGCTGGATGGTCGCATGCTTCGACCACCTCCAGGGGTGGGCATGTGTTCAAAAATTTAAAGTCCATCATGTTTAAGGCCACGAGGTTGGATGGTCGCATGCTTCGACCACCTCCAGAGGTGGGCATGTGTGTACGTGTGTATGTTAAGACGGAATTATTCAAGTGATCGTGAGGCAAGCATATGAACATTGTTTAAACATACAAATGAAAGCGTGTGGATCATATGTCAGAATTTGCATCAATCATACCCTGAAGTCCGCTTTGGTTTTTCCATCAAAGTATTACGACAAAGACATCGAGTCAAATTACCGAAAAGCATTACGGAAGATAGAAGTCAAAAATAAATATTATCATTTCAAAAATATTACAAAATGCATTGAAGTACATAGTCTGAATGCAATAAGGACAAAACATAAAGTACAAGGCCGATCTAAGGGGGAGGAGCTGTGACCGAGTCAGCGTTACTCAGATTGGTGGTCTGTTCTGGTTGATGGCTAGTCCCTGAGGTCGAGTCACAAGCTTCATCGAGGGGACGTTGACGAATAGACTCGGTCAACACGGCCAGCATCGAGGCAGGAGGAATGAGGCCATCGGGCAGAGCATAAGTCTTCTTCAGAGTGTCCGATCGAGCCAGAGTCCTTTCGAGCAGCCCCGACCACCACTCGTGCTCAGGCGGTAGATTCAGATCACCCTGGAAGCTAGGAGGGAACTTGGGCAAGGCCTCCCAAATAGCCCCAGGATCGAGCTGCTTGAAGTCGTCCTCGGCGATCTACTCGCCGGCCTTCTGGAGGGCAAACTGGAAGCAGTCCACCCCAAAATCTTGCACCTCCTTCAAATGTTGTGGTGACCGCGTGTAATCGGCCACCACTTGATCGCGATAAGCTCTTTGGGTTACCAAGGATCCTCCAAATCAATTATTTTCTTTCTGGACCAATAGCATTCTTTCCCTTGGCAGGCAAATTTCCAGCATTCCTCCGATTTCGCCTTGGAGCGTAAAGGCAGGAAAGGTGGTCAAATCAGAAATGGCGTAAAGAAATGTACGGTACTCTCGAAGGAAGAGCTGCCCAGTAGTGGTGCCCACATCATTTGCCGAGCTCGAAGAGCAGCGGCATCAGCATAGCGTTTGCATTGTTGGGTGTGGGCAGCCCGTTCCTTAGCCAAGGTGGCCTCCGTCGCAGCTTGAGCGGCCTCTGCCTCAGCTCGAGCACTCTCTGCCTGGGCTCGAGCAGCTTCTGCTTGGGCTCGAGCGACTTTCTCCTGCTCGAGGGCAGCCTCCCTCTCCTTCAAGGCGGTCTCTTTCTCCGCCATAGCTACCTCCTTTACCGCGAGGGCGGCTTCTTTCTCCTGCTCGAGGGACTTGATTTTCACCTCGAACTCAGTCTTTTGCTCGGCCTGCGTCTCGCGGAGCTGGGTGTTGTGATTAAGGAGGGTCGAATTTCTGTCTTGCAGGTCGCAGATGTTGCTCTCAAGACTCTTTATCGACTTGCTCGAGCTGTCTCGGGCCTCCTTAGCCAGAGGCAAGAACTGGACCAAGCCCTATAACCAAAGAACATGACACAGTTTAATATGCGCGTCGTAGACGAGTGGCAAAAAGACAGTAAAGCAAATGTAAGGTAAATGATACCTGCGCAAACCATTGTACAAGTTGGTCGCGAACTTCAGGCAGCATGGTGCTCCCCTTCTTGCGATCATCCTCGATGAGGGCACCCTCGAGGCGTTCGGCCACCTCATTTACGGAGGCCGATAGCAGGGACGTCGGCTTTGGGGCGCGGGGGTTCGGAGGAAGAGTGCGTCCCCGTTTGACAACCACCTCGCCTTGACCGGTACGAGGGCGCTTGCCCAGAGCCAACTCACGTCCCGCAGCGTCATCTTTACCGGACTCGACCAGAGCTTTGGTCGATCCGGCAAAAGTTGTTTTGGAGGGCTGTTGGTCAAGGAGCAATTTTTCGTGGGTCTTGGTTTTGGACGGAACGTTAGGGTCGGAGGATTTATCGGCACTTTTGTCTTGGGGATTATCTTTGGAACCAGAGGTTCGAGCTGCAGTTTTCTGAGAAGGGTCGTTGGTTTTATGCGGGCGGTCCGAGGTTTTTTGACGATCGTCAGACTTGTGTTGGCGGTCAGTAATTTTCTGACGATCGTCAGCTTTTGAGGAGGCCGAGGCTATGGTTTTGGTGTGTTGGAGGTTCTTCCCAGGAGGGGGTGGCGGAGGTTGTCGTTGTTGTTGGTTCTGTTGCTGTTGAAGCGGCGGCTGTTGTTGTTGCTGGTTTTGTTGCTCTTGAAGTGGCAGTTGCTGGGGTTGAGATGATGGCGGTTGTTGCGAGGGGGATGACTGTGAGAGGGGTTGGTGAGGTGGTGATGACTGTTGTCTCTTGGGATGAGACTGAGATGAGGTGGTTGATCCATCAGCCTGATCCCCGGTCGATCCAGGAACAGTCCCAGATTTTTTCTTCAAAGGGACTTTCCTCAGAGGGATGTTGAAATTAGGAGCCTCTGCACAAGTACAATGAGGAGATCAAGATAAATGTCAGTCCTTTATTTCGACAGAAATAAGAGCACATATGCAAACACTCGAGCAAACGGGTCGATAATTACCTGGATCATTTTCAATCCGAACAAGATTAAGAATCTCCTCAGTAGGAGGAGAAAAAATTTTATGGGTAAGAAGACCGCAACAGTGGAGAAGATTGTCATCCCCGAGAAGTTTTTCAGATTCAACGGACTTGGCATTCCAAGTGTGAATCCGTTGGTCGAAAAGATGGTTTGAAGGAGGGGCAGAGGCTGCCTCTCGCGAGACTTCCTTGACCCAAGGAATGGAAGGCCAGGGAAAAGGGGCGTCAGGTCGAACAAAGATGAATTTATCACTCCACTTGGGGAGATTGGAAGGGATGTCGTTGATGAAATGGGCACCATTACGGCTTTTCAAGTAAAGGCCTTGACCTTGCTTCGAAGGGCCATAGCAATAGTGGAAGAAATCAAGGTCGAATCGACCCAGACGGACATGACATAGAATAATGAAAGTGTTCATGAAACGGATAGCATTGGGAAGAAGCTGATGTAGGCGAAGCGAGAACCACTCGCAAATGCGAAGAAGTTCGGGACTTAGGGGAATACGGAGACCGAGTTTGAACTGAATCTCGAGAAAAGTATAGCAATCCTGCGGAGGATGATCATATTTGTCAGACGAAGAAGACCTAAGGAACGCCCAACCAAGAGGTTGGCCGATTTTGTCAGGATTGAACCAAGGGTGAGAGAGAGAAGTAGAAGATGGACGTTTGGAAAGTTTCTTGGTCGAGGATCGTTTAGGAGGAGAGTTCGAAGGCCCAGGTGTAGAGGAGGAAGGTGGAATGGTTGAAGATACAGGAGCAGTAGGCTGAGCAGAAAGAACCTTGTCCTCCTCTGGCTCGTCTAAGGCGCCGAAAGCAGGTCGATGGCGGCAGAGGGGAATATTATCCATGGTATCCCCGGAGGTGAGAGATGCAACACGAGCTGTGAAAACACGGGTAGGAACTGTGTCGCCGGGGCGAAGGATAGAGAGAGGGACAGCTTCGAGCGCAGAGGGTAGTATTTCAACCGAATCAGAGGAGGTCTCAGAGTCTGAAAAAAGAAAAACAAAGAGAACAATATCAGAAAGGACTCGTCGCAAGGAAAAAAGGGGGGAGAAGGAAGACTAGGGTTTTTGGAAAGAGCAATCCCAAAACCAGAAGAAGGATTTGAGAAGTACGAGGACGGAAATTGCAAAGATTTTCAGAGGAAAAGCAAAATCCGCAACACCCAATAGACATACAAGAGTATTCAGAGCCCAAATTCAACACGAGACACGCCAATTCGAAATGATTCAACAGACAAATCAAAGGTACCCAACAGTGAAAATCCAAGAATACACAAAATAGAACTACAAAGAATACAAATTCAAGGGCGGGGAGACTTACTCATAACCGTGGATCAACGAGATATGGAAGTTCGAAAGAACGCAGGAGAAATCGCCGAGAAAATGAAGGTTTTTTGCAGAAAGAATTTTGGGTATAGAGGAATTCGAGAGTTGCAGAGGTGAAAAAAGTCTAAAAATCAGCTAAGTGTTGATTTTATACTCTGAGGAGTTTAAGGGGTGAAAAGATGAAGACCGTTAGATTAAAGTTAGATCGTACGGCGGAAAGCATTAAATTGCACGGTACTCCAAGTGGGTGCGTTATGCGAAGGGGCGTCATCACTAAAGTACCTGACACACGCGAACAGGAGCGACACGTGGCAGAAAAGCAGGTGCGACAGGAAGGATATGGGACAGATGACGTTATGCCTGACAATTAATGGGAAATTATTCGAAATTATAAGCGGGAAACTCGCCAGTTGGTCGGTATCTGGAGACAAGCTAACCAGAAAGTCGATAAACACAAATTCACTCTTAGATCGAGTCATTCAGACTCGACCAGAGTGGGGGGGGGACTAGATGATATGGGATATTATATACACAAGGCTAAACCGGTCCGCTTGGCCGGTCGAGAAGGTCAAACCAGGAGGAAGCCAAGCCAAAAGGTGGGAAGATCGAGCATTCAGATAATTGACCAGGCAGTGGTCGACCAAAACCATCGCTCGACCAGATAAGTGATCGAGCAGCATCTTCGAACTCACCAGGTCGATTTGCTTCGAGGGTCCGACAGTCGGCCTAGTCATAAGCGCGCGTGGGAACCTCTAACCGAATTTCAGGAGAATATTTACCCCATGTGCAGGGGGACACGTGTTGAGAAAGCATTGGTGGATATCGATAACCACCTCTGACAGCTCCCAACGCCCTGCGCCACCTCTGATGTAACACCCCACCTTATCGTAAAATCAGAGTGCGAAAATTTCACAAAGTTATTTAAAAATAAAACCTTTTACTTTGCGAAAACTGATTTGGGGTGCTACATTAAAATCGTGACTTAATTTGGAAAACTGTTATTTTAATTTTTAATAAAATCATACTGATACTGAAAGCATAATGTTTTCCAAAAGTCCGTCGAAATATAAGTTCGTCAAAAGTTATCATCAGCGGAAACGTAAATCGTCATATTATATATACAATCAAAACATAAAAGTCCGGAAGCCTTCGTCTGCTCACGCTCCCTGCCCGACATCCTGACCTGAAAAACATGATAACAATGGGAAGTGAGCACTATGGCACTGTACTCCGTGGAAACTCATACTAATGTAAACATTGAAAATAATAACAACATCATGATATCGGCATATACATAACCTCAACATAAAGCCGGTAATA